GTTGCTCCATATTTACCATGTTAACATCCACATCTTCTCCTTTGATATCAGTATCTCCCCATCCTGTAGGTTTGATGTCTTCAATTGGGGTCTTTGAGCTTTCTGGGGCGGAATACTTCACCATGTAATCGAACTTCCCGCTGGGCTCTCCCAAGGTATCCCATATTCCCTTCTGAGGAAGAACTGGCAGTGTGATCTGTACTTTCTCCAACTTTCGCCTCAAGCTTTCAGTAGCTTGTGTCGAATTTTGTTCTTGGTTCTCCTGGTCTTCAGTATACTGGATCTCTTTCGAAGCAACCAAAGGAACTGCTTCGATCAAAGCTTCTTGTTCCTTATGGAAGTCCTCAGTAACTTCCTTTTCGACTTCAACTAACACGTAGTTTTCATCCTCAGTGTTTTCCTCTTCTGATGGAGTGTCACCTTCATTTACTCCAACCATATTTATCTCTCCAATGTATGCAGGTTCAGAGTAATTGGTGTCAGCAACATCCAAAGGGTCATCATCCACTTTCATCTTTGCCTTGTCAGCGAACCTTAATCTACCATCCTTGATTGCATTTTGAATCAGATCCCTGAAAAGAAAACATTGTGAGGTTTTGTGGCCTAAGAAACCGTGATACTTATAAAACCCTCTTTTCTTTCTTTGATCTAAAGGTGGTAATTTGACATTCGATGGCACTATTAGTTGGCCATCTTTGACAAGCAAATCAAAAATTTCATCACATTTCGTTACGTCGAAGGTATAAACCTTCTTTGGGAACTTGTCACTCTTCTCATTTTCAATAATTTCTTTCCCTTTTATGGGAACTAGTAATTTACAAGAGTAAGGGGGAGCCTGTTTCAATTCAGCGAGATCAATTTCGACCTCTTCGAATTCAGGGTAATCTTCTGCTTCCTCAGTTTCGACATAGGAAACCCTTTCTTTCTTGTTATTTTTAAAAATCCTGGCTTTCTCGGCCTTTAGTCTTTCGACTTGTCGAACCCTGTCTGCTAATTGGGCCATATCCCTCAAGTATTGTGTATCTAATTTCTTTCGAATGGAGTAGTCTAGGCCACCGGCAGCCATTTCGACTAACTCATGTTCAGGAACTATCGTGAAACATCTAGACTTCAAGAGTCTGAACCTATTCAGATAATCATCTATGGGTTCAGTAAACTTCCTCTTGACACTGGCCAGCTCTTTCAGACTTATTTTAGATTGTCCCATGTAGAATTGTTCATGAAATAATCTCTCCAAAAGAGTCCAAGTATCTATGGATCCAGGAGGCAATGTGGTGAACCATGTGAAAGCGTTCTTAGTTAGGGAACTTGGGAAATATTTAATCCTAAGGTTCTCGTTATTTGCCATGTCTCCTGCTTCAGTCAGATACCTGGCTATGTGTTCGACTGTTGACTCATTGGTGTCTCCAGCAAATTTTGTAAATTTAGGGACCTTATATCTCCTTGGTAAATCAGTGTGCATCACATAATCTACTACGGGAGAAGAATAGTTTGGCCTTCTAATTCCTGTATTGAGACCGTTTTGAGCCATAATCCTTTCTATCATGGTGGTTAAATTATTTTCTGCCAAGATGTTGTCATTTAGAATTCTATGAACGACTTCATCAGCGTCTTGGTGTCGACCCACCATGACAACTCCTCTAGGTTATTCTTCTCGAAACTCTGGGACTTCTAACCTTTCGACCCTTACCCCTGGTTCTATAACTCCCCTTTGTGGTTCCTCTCGAATCACTGGGGCTTCTAACCTTTGTGCCCTTGCCCCCAAGTTAACCCCCTCTCTGGCTGGTCTATAGGGTGGATCATCAGTAATTTGTTCTATGATGGGTATGTTCGCTCGAACCCCCGCCTGATTCTGCCTACGCCTTTCTGGCGGAGCGAAAAAATCTGCTATTTGACTCATGTTATCCGCGTTTTCTCTGTTGGTTACATTTACATTTTGTACTATTGGGGCAAATATTTCTTACATAGTCTGCGCTAACACTCCTATCATATTATGGTTACTATCATCCATTAATTGCCTAAAGGCCATCTGATTTTCTGTGGTTAAGATAGACAATGTATTATGACCCACTGAACCTTGGGTATTTGTCATAAATTGGTTGGCCCCAGATCCAGACCCAAATTGTGGTGACGAATTTGATGTAGAATTGTGCAAACCCGCCATAAAAGATGTTGGCATCCCATAGGAGGGATTTCTGAGTCTAGTGCCATCGAAACCGGGTGGTCTAGTTGGTGGTGGGGTGGCGAAATGGGTTTGTGTCCCTGGTGGTGGGACAAATCCTGCAAGATAACCAGTGGTCCCTGTATTTCCTAGGGTCGAACTGTTGGTTGTCGTGCCACTTGCTCCATTTGTGGCCACACTACTGGTAGAAGATGCAACAGACTGTGCGTTCGTAGGGATCGCGTTAGACGTCCCCGTCGAAACAGACGTATTGGTGCCTGTTCCATGTGGGATATTTTGTTCCCCTTGTTGATTGTTTGGATTAGACATCCTACTACTACGTTTTCTTCTGGGTAAGGGTTGGTTACTATTGGTTGTTTTACCACTTCTGAGGTTCATATAACAGCGAAATTGATACTCAGAAAAGAACTTACACAGCGAAATCGTATCCTAAAATCTTTACTTTCGACTTTCTTAACAACGTGTCCTACCAGGTGTGCCAATTTGTTCACAGTAATTTCTGGTGAACAACCGCTAGTCTTCCAAACTATTGAATAAACTTAATTACTGTTATTCAATTTCTCTGATAACTTGCAGGATCGACTAGATTGATCCTATAGAACATAGTTGTTTGGTTAAGTCTAATTGTAAAACTGGTATTCCTATTTAGGACTTCTAATTAAAGTGTTTCAAAGATATCCAATCCACTTCGATTACTATACTGAATGATTCGAAGGACAATTTCTATATGATATCAGGAATGTTCTTTAGAAAAGTAAAAATACTTAAGATTGGGCAAATGGCAGGATTAAGTAAGTGAATGTAAAAGTTACTGAATGTTTAGAGGATTCGAACATAAGAAAAGTGTTTAAATGCAGAAAGAAATAAATGACTTCGAATGTAAAGGCTTTAATGTAAAGGCATAAACGTAAAATTGTTTGAAGCACAAATGAAATGGAAGTGAAAGACAAAACTGAAAAATGTAAAGAGTTTTCATTGAATTGTAAATGTTGGTGTTATCATACGTACATCTTTCGAGCATTCGTTTCCCTATCCATGCGGTATTTTGAATGTTTACTGAATTTGTACAACAGATATGACACACTGAAATCCTAACACTAAGACCTCTATTTATACTACTTCGACCATAACGGTCTTGTTATCAGAATCTGCCACGTTCGAAGCATGCAGAGCATTACTTCCCTCTAGCCTCCACGCGTTCTCGAACGTTCCAATGCTTATGTATTTTGAATTTCCAATATCCCGCTCACGTTTGAATTTCAAGCACCTTGGTACCTTCATTTCGAATTCGTTTCGAAAACAACCCTCACAAATATAGTCTCATCATTATTTCGAACAAGGCTTTAGACTTACACTCCACAACTATCATTCGAAACCTTGAACTTTAATATTTCTATTCAAAACAAACAGTCTCTTCCATTCCAAATCATCAAACTTGCTTTATTCAAACAAAGCCCAATCGTCTTATTTCGAATCGTAATATCAAAATCTTCAGCCAACAAATACGTAGATAAAAAATGAGACTCTGATTCCTCCTAAGAAGATACGTAGACATGCGATCAAAAATCTTGGCGAGTCCCGCTAAATAAAATTCAAACCCTTTTTTTCAATAATAATTAAAAAGAACCGAGTCCAAATCTAGAATCTCTAAATTTTAAGATTGTTCATTTATACTCTCTTTCTTTAGCATAAAAATTAAGGATGACGACTCTGATTTAAAAACCAATTGCAACAGAAGGGCCATAACAAAGTTTTGAAATTGAAATTTCTCAATACACCCTAAAAGATGAAAAAACACCATATAAAAATCTGAAAATACCCTTTAATTTTCGGAAATACATTTCCGAGCGCTCCTCAAAATACACTATATACATGTATAAATAAATCACACTTTCATTTTATAAAATAATAATTCAGAAATATATTTTCATAATATTTATTTTCATTACTCTATCTCAGCTGTCAGTGCTCCAACAAAGTTTCAAAGCAACAAATCTTTGTTAACTCAGCTTCAAAACAACAAATCTGTCTTTCTAACTCTTGTGATTCTTAACAATATTTCCAGCTCTTTCTTTCTAATTGTTGTGCTTGTTTACAATTTTTCCAAGATCTTTCATTCTTTCAAAGCCAAATCTTTGTTCAATCAAAGCCAAATCTTTGTTCAGTGACTCCAGTAGTATAGCAGGAGAGAGGTTCAAAAATTATGGTTCAGTGACTCTTGAAAATGCATTTTTGAAATAAATTTAATCTTAAATTTAAAATCTTTTTAAAACATATGAATTGTGTGTTTGAGATATGTTCGGAGATGTGTCTCTGAAATCTGAAAATATTATTATATTTTTACAAGGCATGACAGTAATCCACGAGGTGCATTAGAAATTCCCTTGAAACTCTACCCGAGCAGGATATAGAAGCAATCACTTTGGACCTTCCTATATAGATTGCCTTCGTGCAAAAATTTGAAATACATTTCCCCTCTTATTACCCTTAATTCAATATTTATCAAATCTTATTTTAACTAAAAAAAATGACATTTTAGATTTATACTGCTTAATCATATTGGTCCTTTCTTCATCATTCGTTCTTCACAGCTCTAAAGGAAAAATAACAAAAGCAGAAAAAATAACTGGAAAAGATTATATTTATCATTACAAGGATTAAACATTAGTCTAGTAAAACCAAACATGGGTGTTGTATCCCTGCCTTGTCTCAAAATGACAACCCACTAAGCAGCGACCGATGACAATACATACTCGTGATCTTAATACAAACTCGTTAACATGATTAATAGACGATATTCTGAATATCCGTAAAAGTATCAACCATCTAGAGGCAATTCTCCGCATTTAACAATTCTGCAAGGCTTCACAGGGATATCTAACCTGCTTGTTTCCTGAGACTCAAGTGTCCTCACAACATCCATTCCTTCAATGACATGTCCAAACACAACATGCCGATCGTCTAACCATGGAGTCTACATCATAAAAACCACAACATTAAGATTGATATGCAAAAGATCATTCGTCTAACCGTGAGCACTAAACATGTTAGCAATGACAGAAAATCAGGAATGTGTGCCAGCGTAATATTCAAACATGATCTATATTTAAATTAACAACCAATCATTGGTTATTGATTTTTGGCTTAATTAGAAATTTGAAGTTTGCTTTCATAAAAGATAAGTCCGTAAATTCGCATCTAAAAAGAATCCAGGACAGTACATGTCCCTCACCTTTACGGTGGAAATAAAAAATTGACTACCATTGGTATTAGGACCGGCATTGGCCATGCTCAAAACTCCAGGACCAACATGCTTCACTGCAAGAAAGTGTTGAAATAGAATTTTCAGGAGATTAATAACACTATTGTAAGCTCAAATTATGGCCAAGAATAAATTTAAAAAACCAAAGACATACAATCAAAACTCTCATCTTCAAAACTAGAACCGTAGATACTCTTTCCGCCAGTTCCCTGCAGCCAATAGAAACACATTTTGAGTGAGAAGAAACGCTCAGTGAGACAAAACATGGCAACTGAAAGTAAATGTGCACATTAACATATAAACAAATATGACAAAGACTATTAGTCTCACATTTCCTTCAGTGAAGTCCCCTCCCTGAATCATGAATTCTTTGATTACGCGATGGAAGGAGCATCCTTGGTAACCATATCCTTTTTCTCCTGCACAAAGATAATTAAACTCAATCAATAAAACGCCATGTTACACAATTTATTCAATGAAACTGGTAATTCAAGTACAAGAACAAAGCTGCAGAAAAATGTAATTGCTTGCCTGTGCACAAAGCGCGGAAATTTTCAACGGTTTTAGGAGCAACCTCTCCGAACAAGCCCAAAACAATTGTGCCGACAGCTTTACCCCCAATATCTACATCGAAGAAGCATTTGGTAGTCACTTTGGCTTGCAGCTCTTGAACCTAACAGTGGTAAAACAAGGTAAGATAGTAATCCAACACCCAACGTTTTAATCACAGCATAAATTAACTATTCAACAAGGGCAATAATTTTTTGGTTAACAAAGTAGTCAATAAGTTTATCAACATGGAATCATCAAAATCAATAATCCAAATGCTTAATGAAACAACAACAACAACAACATCGAAATGCTTAATGAAACAACAACAACAAACAACAGCAACAACAACCAAGCCTTATCCCACCAAGTGGAACCGGCTACATGGATCAACTTCCGCCATAATATTTTATCCAGGACCATACTTCTATCCAAATCGTTAATATCGAGACATTTCTTAATAACTTACATTTTCAGCAGCAGCACATGTAACTCTGCTATATCTAATTGACTTTGCTCCAGATTGTTGCGTGGTCGACAACTTCAAAGAAAAACGTGATTTTGATGACAATGATTTGGTGTAACCAATCCGTGATACGGTTTGTGACCTTTGAAACAGAGACACATCTTGTCTAAAATTACCCTGAAAAAATAAATAAAAAAAAGGCACATTTACAAAACCCTAAACCCTCTATGTAAAAACATGAGTAAAAATTAACAGAATAGGTTTGATTTGAAGAGAGAGACCTGGAGATGAGAAAGTGTGTTGTGAGATTGAAGAAATTGAGTTGAGAATGAAGAAGCCATGGCTACACTAACCAACCTAAATGCAACAAGAAATGGTTTCTTAAGCCAAAGCAGTTGAGACTTTTGAAAAAGAAACAAAGCGGTTCTAATTTATTATGCCCCTATTTTTTTATTTCTCCTACATTGGTTTCTCAGTCGTATTTGTTAGTAACAAGAATTTTTTAAATATATTTAACACATTTTGTATTTTAAATATATTTTTAAAAATAAATATTATTTTATATTTGTATATTTTTTTAATATATGTGTTAAAAAATAAAAACTCTTGTTTAGGGTTTACGTTTTTTTTATTATTTGTTATTTTTTAAAAATAAAAACTATTTTGTATTTGTATATTTATAATAGATATTTTTTTAGTGAAAGTGAATAAGTGGAATGATGCCACTTTGAACTCTGATTCTTGCAATATTTTTATATAATTATCAATTAATTTAGATTAATGATTTAACATTTATTTAAATTTAATTTTATAATGATTAAGATCAAACTCTCCTCATATATATTATGAGTTTTTGATAAACGATATCTAATATGTTAGTCCCTTTATCTTAAATTATAAGACATTTTAATTATTTCACATGAATTAAAAAAAGTGAATTGATTTTATATGAAAAAAAGATGATATATAACTTTATAGTATTATAATACTGTTCTTCGAAAGATAAATTTAAAAAATTGCAAGAAGAAACAATAATAAATGATAGAGGATATTTGAGAAAAATATTATTAATGTTGCACTGAAATTGAAAAATGACTTATAATTTGAGACAATTCACTTCCATGGTTATAGCGCTCACCTCTAAATCAAATATTGTTTTGATTGTTATGGCTCTTGACCTTCATATGGCTAACCAGTGACCCTTGGAAAGCTCCAATGCTATCTGGATCAAGGTAAAGCCCTTGGAAGGCGCTCTAGAATAGGATGTCAGTTGAGCTGTCAGGGTCGATCAACTCTCGCTTCACATCTCAATTGGTATTCTAAATTGTGATGATCTTGAGACCATTTTTATCGGGGAGAACACCAATCACGTCTTCTCTCGAAAAGGTAATTTTGGGTTCTCAGTCCATGCCTAAAATTCTGAGAGCTTTAGCAGGAGCCATGTTTGCAGTTAACACTTCTAAGATAGAGAGATATATACATGATTCTCTGTTGTGATCTATAGCAAAGAAGAATCGATTATATGTGAAGTCTTCAAAGGTTCTTATCTACTCCTTGAAAAAGAACAAGGCATGATTCTGAGTTACTCTACCGAGAGAAGTACTTTTAGTAATGCCAACTTCAAGACTAAAGACAATGATTTATTCATTGAGAAAGGAATTGATGTTCAACCAGATGTTGAAACATCATCTCAACAGGTTGATACTCCAGATATTGTGGAAGACTCTAAAGGGCTAACATGCACTAAATAAGAAAGCTCTCAAGAAAACAAAATTTTGTCTAAAAGGGAGTTTGTTCTATGATCATTAATAGTTTCAAAGATGAAAATACCTATGATGGTGAGTCTTGGAGTTAAAGCTACTGGTCAAGTCTAAGGGAGACACTATTAATGGAGGATATTCTTGTTTAAGAAACAATATTGTCTCTTCGATCAGAAAAAATTTAATCCTGGTATATCTTTAAGATTAGGTACAATGTTGAAGGAAGATGTATTTTCAATTGAGTTGGTTGCTAAAAGAGTACAATGTCAAATTGAATGTCATGACATTGTAATGTGATAGGTTGTTATAATCAAGATACTCAAGATTGTTAGTCTGCTTGAAGAACAAAGCCATTGGTACTTGTTATCATATGTTAGGGGTCTTGCTACAGGAAAATATTGGCACTCCTAAGCTTGGTATGTCTGAGAAGCTTTAGGAAGTATTTTCATCTGAACTTGAGGTGCAAGTTATTTTGAGAATGAGAAGGATGTTTTTGGAATTGCACTACTGAAGAATTATAGTAGTAACTGTTTGGTCGGTTTTCCAACTATATTCATCTTATGATATGTGCAATCTTAGAGAAAGCATTTTCAATGGCATAGAGAATGTCATTTCAAATGTTGTAACATTTTCCAACAGTCAAAGTTTAGAAAAAGAGAAAGTAGAATAAAAACAATGTTTCTCTCCTATGGTGAGTAAGGTACTGTTATTAAGGGTGACTTTATCTTCTTCCAATAACACTCTCATTGACTGGTCTATCGTTATAAGCAAGGTTTCGTTACAAACAAGGTAACTCTCCTTGAATTTAAATACCTTACAATCTCACCATCCTCTCAAGCTACGTTTCAACATTAGTAAATCTTCCAAAAGGGCTTATACAGAGAAGATATAAATGATGGATACCAAGAAGGATATGTGTTTTGGGTCAAACAAGGTTGTGTTCAACACTGCAATAAATATTGGAACATCTACTGGAGTATCCAGGACAAGGAAAACATATGTAACCAAAATGAAGTCCCTCAATAAAAGCATGATCAAATACTTGATTCAGACTCAGATGTTGATGAAGATTGAGTCAATTTCATTGACTCAGAAAGAAGGTTTGAATACCTGTTGTCTACTATTAAAAAAACAAAAAAAAAGAGTCTATTTATTTTCCATATTTTGTTTTCTTTTAGTTTTTGTATCTTTGGATGAGTCTGTTCTTCCTTTTGTTTTTGTTATTAAGTCAGTCTTGGGTAGTTTATCCTACCTTAGTTTTGTGTCTTCTTTTTCAGCTTGTTTTGTATCATTTTGGTTTGTGTCTTGTTTTAGTTCCTTTTGTTTCAATTTCTTTTCACTCAATTTTGTCATTTTTTTGGCTAAAAGGGGGAGAAATATGTTAGTGAGTCTAGTCTAGTGTTGATGCTTGATGTATGAAATACTTAAGGGGGAGCATGACTATTTATCATGAGAGTCTTGAGTCTGTCTTATTCATGCTTTTGTTGCTAATTATGTTGTGGTTGTTTGTAGGATGTCCTATAAGATGTTCTAACATCCTGTCTATTATGTCTTATGTTCTGAGTTATGAGTGTTGTTTTGTCTTGTATTATGATTTATGTGTGTTGCTTCTGCTGCATGTTCTTCTAATGTCTTGAACTCTATAGTTCAAAGTTGAGTTCAGGTTGATTTTCTTGTGCTACAGGAAACGTTTCTTCTTCCTCTTAAGGGGGAGATTTGTTTCTCTGTAACAAGAATTAGTTATGTATGACAGGGGAGTAATTTGGATAGATCTGAAGCAACAAATTATCTTCTTCCTCATGTATAAAGTTTACATGTTTGCATGTAGCTTATGTTGTGGTTTTATTCCTCTCTCCAGGTTTATCATGCTTTGGTTGTTTTAGCCAAAATTTGCCAAAGGGGAATATTGTTAGATCTATGGTTTTAGGATTGGCAGTAATTTTGTTAAAACATGGTTCTTGAAAGGTGTTAAGCAATATGTCATAACATCTTGATCAAATTGAAACAACAAAGTATTATCTTACATTGAAGACCAAATGTTCTGAAAGATGTCGTAACATCCTGAACCAAAATATCAGTACAAGTTGTTTTAAATCTTGGCATATTTGATTTAATTTTGTGATATATCTTTTAGATATATCTCAAAGATTTACGTAGGTCAATGAGATTTAATCTGGAATATGTGAATCAAATCTCCAACATCATTAAAGTTTGTAAAATTGGATGTTGAGACAATTTAGGATACTTGAAGATTTGTTCCAAAATTTAAGGAGATGTTCCAAAACTTGAAGGTTTTCCAACATCAAAAGTCAAAATGTCAAGACTTCAACTTCTCACCATAAAGTTTGAAAATCTCAGGATGAAAGATGATGAGTGCATTCATGATTTTCACATGAGTATTCTTGACATTGCAAATTCATCCAGTGCCTTGGGAAAGAAAATACCAGAAGATAAATTTGTGAGAAAAATCTTCAGGTCTCTTCCTAAGAAGTTTGACATGAAGGTCACAACCATAAAAGAAGCCCAAGACATTTCTAACATGAAAGTGGAAGAGCTAATTGGGTCTCTCCAAACTTTTGAATTAGCTATTGATGATAAACAAGAAAAGAAGAACAAGAACATAACTTTTATCTCCGATGCTGATAATGAAAAGGATCAATATGACATGGAAATTCATGATGGAATATCCAATGCTATTGTGCTTCTAGAGAGGCAATTTAATAAGGTACTGAAGAGAATGGACATGAAGTCAAGACCAAATGTCAAGAACATGTTGTTCGACATCAGTAAGGACATTGAGTTTCAGAGAAAGGCAAGAATAGAGGAGAAGCCTAATCAAGTAAAAGGTATTAAGTGTCATGAATGTGAAGTTTTGGTCACATTAGGTCAGAATGTCCCACTGATCTTAAGAAATAAAAGAAGGGGTTCTTTGTTTCTTGGTTTGATGATGATGAGTTTGAATGTGAACGTGATATTGAAACTTCTAAGCATGTTATTTCCCTCACTGGAAGATATGAATCAGATGAAGAGTTCTATGATAAGGATTCCTATTATGAATAATTGGCTATGGCTTACAAGAAGTCTTGTGTCAGATGTGAGCAAGGAGTCTTCTACCTTGAATGTTCTAAAGTTGTTACATTTTCTCACCCTTAGGTTTAAGATGATTGAATAGAGGCAATTATTGCACCCCAAAATTTACCCTCTTATCTTTTTACCTTTTTGGCTCATGTTTTATTATCATATACATTCATGCATTGAGATGGGATCAAGGTGTTTTGGTTTTCATGGTCTTCTTCAAGCTAAAGAAGATGGTTGTTTTGTCAATTAGTGCAAGAAGGATCCAATATCCTAATTCTTTTGACCACTCAAACTACAAAGGCTTATCATGCCTCAAGACATCTCAATTGATTTTTTGTTTCATCCGAAAATTGAGAATTGTAAGGGTTTTTGAAGTGAATCACATTTCTCCTATCTATTGGCTATTGTGCTAGGGTTTTGACTATTGTAGTATATGACATATTTATTGACAAAGTTCTTGAAGAATCATATTTTTACCATCATACAAGCCATCTTTGTTCAAG